GCCATTTATACAGAAGTCTAAGTTAGGAAGCGACACTCATATTTACATGCAAACACTCAAAAAGGAATCCTATGTGGAAATACCCAGTCCCAATATTTAATTACTTTCAGGATTTGCTGCCTTAACATTTTTAGCAATTTGGAAGTCAAAATTATTTTAAAAACACTTACCTATAAACAAAATAATACAGCCGTTCAACAAAATGACTCTTCATTAACATTATTGTATTCGTCCTAAATATTTTTCTTCTCTTTCAGCTGAAAAGCTGAATTTGAGGATGCATACATATGGGTGTGTCAACTAGTTTGTTTATTCTAAGCTTGGCAACGGGGTAAAAAAAGAACCTGAACTGTTTTATCCTTAGGGCTTTTTTCCCCACATACAATGTTAACGGTGGTTAGGATTACTATATGTGAAACAAAAAGAATATTTATACTTGACCTTTATCTTTTAGTCGTGATATTAAACACCAGAAATTGTGATTACAAATAAACCCACCTTTTCTAGGGATTCACTCTGCAAGTCTTCTAAACTACTTGACTTTTTTTTCTGTGGAACCCTTAAAACAGTGACAGGCAAAAAAGCAACAGTTAATGCAACACAGTATATTTGCATATGTCACAACTGTATCATGTGACAGCTGTATATATCACATAATGTGTGCATATAACAGATAATTCAGAATTAGGAGATTAATTTCTTTTGCGTATTTTTAGCCTAAAACTCATAGTATTGGGAACTGCAATAGATGAAGTCAGAAACAGCAACAAAGTATCTCCTTTGATCAACAATGAAAGGCAATAAGGCGCAATGTGCAGTTTTAAACCTTACATCTATAGATGACTTTTTAGAAGCTCTTAACAAGAAAAAGTAGACAGTACTAACTCTCTGTGAACAGTGTGCAACATTAAGGGCTTTAAAAAAGATTTTAAAAATGGAAAAAGGCAGAATTGTAAAAAAATTTCTGGCTGTGTTTTACATTTCAATTAAAGTTACTCTTTCTTACCTATTTACGATTTCCAAAGATTCTTCTTGTGGAGAGGTTAAATTACTTGAAGATACTGGAATGCTTCCACTTTGAATCAGAATAAAATATACTGTTTTAAGTACTACAATACGTATACCTTCTGATATATAAAAGTGCTAATTTATTCCTGTAATTCAAACCTTATACAACTACATATTGCAAACTTCCCCGGCAAACACTGCTTTTACAACTACCCAAAAGTTCTTGCAAAGCCAAGAACAGGCAAGACAACATGCCAACAGTTAAACAGATTAAATAATACAAACTTAGGACAATCCACACGGAAAACAAGAAACAAAGGTCTTGCCTGATTTCCATAGCTTTGTGTGGCACTGGAGAGAGCATAGCTGGTGACAATTCTCCTGAAGAGACCTATGTAAAATACAAGAGTTTCAAGCCTGTAACTCTAGTGCCTGATTCTGAATCTATAGTGCCCATACCAAGAGGCACAAAAATTCAGGCAGGGCCAAACCCTCATCTACATTACCTTAGCTACTACAGAGAAACCAATACAAACAAATCACATATACAGCAGAAGTTGCTTCTAAAACATCTTTATTAAGTACCTGTGTTTTAAATAATTCTCCTTGAGGATTATGCAAAAGATTCCACTTTCTTAAAGTTGTCTCAAGTTCCTCTTCACTGCCACCAGAGACGGAAGAGCCTGCGAGCATTAAAGATTAGAAGTAGAAAGGGAGAGAAACAGGCCAAAAAAACCCCAAACCCCAAACCATTTAGGACCGGATCAGACAGTCTAATACTTCAGTCTCTAAATTCCCCTTCAGTCTTCATCTGATGCATGTAGTTTACCAGCCCCTCCACTCCCCACCCCTCCTTTGGGCACTGACTTACTGATTTATATTAGAGCAACAAATTCACCACTTCTAGTTATATGCTGTGCTCTGCTGTGAGTAGCTGAGCTGCTTATGAGGCAGCTTCTGAACCACTCTAATTCATAGTTTGATGTGCTGAGGCAAGTTCAAGTTGGTACCATTTTCTTATTCCCTGTGTATCACTTTATAGGTAATATGCATGTTTGACATCATCTGTATCATAATGCAGTGCCCCATGCTGGGTTCAAGGACGAACATGGTGAACACGCTCCAGGTTTTTCTGGATAACCCAGATCTAACCAAATACTGAAATATTCCAAATTCATTATTTAGTACAATTTTTATTCCTAAATTGTCAAAGCTGCAATACTAAATCAGGGTCTGAATATTTAGTGCTCAGCAAATGTCCAGAGTATTTGGATAAGAATTTTTTTCTGGAGATCTCCTATGCGTAGGGTTGCATACAGGATGTGGAAGGGTTCCTATGCCATGATGGAGAAATTTAGGCTGACCTTTAAGCATATTAATAATTCCTAATTTATGTGATAGACATGCAGCAGCTCTAGGCAGTTATGAAAAAACACCAAATCTTATGCTTAAGCCTTGGCACTATTAGAAGAGAGATCATTTGAAAACTCATTAGACGTGAGCTTGGTTATCATGCCATTCAGCTACAAAGACTGCCAACAAACCTGATACTGACCATAGGCCCTTCAGGATATGAAGTGAAACTTATGCTATGGTTCCTCATACACAGCCCCTCAGTTAGCACAAATTACTAAAACCAAAAGAGCTACCTGTAGTAGAGTTCAGGATAGCGCCTTTATATTTTACTCAACTGTCAGTGGTTGTTTCAAGCAGCTGCCCTACTTTAATCCAAAACAGATTTTTTTTTTTTTAAATGTATGTGTTACCTATGGTGAAGAGTTGGTCATCTTTTGTCAACATGATTTATAGCTTGCCTAAAGCAGAAATAAGAAATGCTTGCAGTATATTGTGTTTCTGTCAAGTAATTATTTGAAACAGTTATCAGAGACAGAAGATTTCAACCCATTGATTCTACCAAAAGTTTTTAAGCAGAGATTACACTTCAGAGGGAACCTTTAAGACCCACCTCTAGAAATAGAAAAATAGATAATCAGCGAGATATTCTTGGCAACCTAAACACAAGACTCCCACAAACACACCTAAGGTAACAAGCTCATTCGACTGTGACAATATTGTAGCCATCACAATATGCACCTCAGTGTGGACAATCTCAGTATACGCTCTAGTTCCCACACAGGTTTTGGGTTTTGTTTTTGTTTTATTATGCTGAGCGTGACTGGGTTTTTTTATTTACACAGTACTGAACACCTGTATTAGCATACATTAACACCATCATAGTCCCTGCAGCACCAACTCGGTAATCCAGAGCATCATGGCTTGCTCCTTGTTCATGCACACAAGTGTCCTCCAAAAGCCATGTCCCACAGGGGGATGGTGCACTCAAGTATGTACAACCAGGATGTGGCCAAGGAGAGTGGAACTGCGGGGGTTACTGTTGAGAGCACCTACTCTCAGGGTAACAGTGGTGTAGCTATTTTGGGAGTTAATGTCAATATGCCTCCAAAAGCTACCATCACACCTTTGGATTTCCTTTCAGAACATTTTCAAGTGAGGGACTTTTTTTTTTTTTTTGTAAATGAACACTCAGAGAGATTTACCTGACTCTTGTGCCCTATTCTTGTGTGTTAAATATAAGTTTCCACTCTGCCGTACAGGACCTGAAAATATTGTGTGTTAATATGATGTACATTGAACAAAACTGTCCTTTCAGAAGGTCAAGTTTCCCAGACTAAATGTAGTACTGAAAACTAAGGTGGCAATTTAAAATGAGATTGTCCTAAAACTCACTCCACTTCCTGCAGTGTAATTGATAAACAAAACAAAGATTTTTCCCCAGATTTTGAAGTTAAATATGTAATATTGTGTGCACCAAAGCAACCATGGGTCTTCAGTTGTTCCCTCCAAACCAGAACTCCCCTAGTCGGCTGTCAGGATTTTTCTTAGTGGAAGGGAAGGGCAACAGAACTTCTTATACTCATTGCAACTCTTTTTAGCAAAAATGAAAAAAAGTCCTCCTAACAGTATCAAATGGCACCTGAGATCAGCGTCCCTGTTATGAATGCCGTTTGAAAAACATGTCATAAAAGGAAAACATTGTGTCATTAACGCTAGCTAGCTGGCTAGCAGCTGCCATTCCTGAATTAAACTGTGGTGTAGGAAATCTGAATATAGGATGTATTTAATTAATTAATGTTCATCATCCACTAAGGTCTCCTGATATTTTGCACTGTAGAAACCGGTTTCTCATAACATAATGGTCACAGGAAACACCATACAAACTTAATACCTATCTGTATACTTTATTCATCTCCTACGGATGAATTAATTTAAATCAAACTGAATGTAATTTTAATTTTGAATAATAGATTCTTGAGAGGGATATAATGCAATTTAGTAAGAATACTGCAAACTAATGCCTTTAGCTAATTTGAATGAACTTTCCTAATTGCCCCTGTGTTGACAAATTCTGTCTGCATGAGCATCCTGCTGTTTGCTCCCTCCTTTTCACCCTTTTTGCTATAATCCCTTTTGGTCTGGCCTCTACAACCCATATACAACTTGAGTGGATGGCAACCAGCAGCAGTGAAATAGGAAGTACGAAGCTTTGGCCATGAAGGACATATGTCATAGGCCTGCACTGTGGAAGAGACTGGCAGGAGTCCCGTCAGCGAAGAGGGACAGGACTGCATGAAGTAGCTAATAAAACCATGGCCTCAGCTGTCCACCCAGCCATCACTACATGGATGTAGGCGTTCTGCAACCAAAGCTCCTGCCCCATTGCAGTACATATAGCAAAGTGCTTTAAGGAGAGCAGTTGCTGACTTCAGATTGCCTTGGCACATAAGGAGGTAAACTGCAGTGCTTCAGACCCAGCTGATGAGCAGTTCACACAGCTGTACAACCAGAGCAGTAATCTCACCAGTCATCCTTCCTTATCAATCAGAATCCTTAATGACACCATCTAAAACAACATATAGCACCAAAATAAGGCTCCAAGGAGGGATTTACTATTAACCGATGTAGAACAAATTCTAGCTTATGACTGACGGGGTTGAGCATAAGATTCAGTCACAGAAGTCTTGCTGAATAGTAATGCTGTAACTAAATCTCCGGACAGATTTGACCCTATTTTTTTTTTCTGACTACAGCATAGGAAACAAAAAGGAAACCTCCACAAACTACAGGCAATAACACACAAGTCTGGCCAAGACATACT